ATATATAGCAAACAAGGGCGCTAATATACTCATCTAAAAGATCCATTCAACATATTACAGAGAATAGGGATTACTTTAGGGGCGGAACCCCAGCTTGGATCAACAAAGCAAGTCATAAGTCATAACGCATAACCATCTTGTGTCGAGGTGTTCTCGTGGGGAGTCATTTGGCGTAGTAGCAATGTCGGGGTTTGTGCATGTTGTGTATTTGGAGAGTTTGGCAGGCTGCGTCTGCGGTTGTGGGGTTTCATGTCATGGGAGTAGTTTGTTCGTGCTTTGTTTGTATTGGTTTTTGTCCGATTTTCCGTAAATTAACTGGGTAATTTTCTTCGTCTTAATTAATCAACGAGGCAAAACTTCATGCATGGTGAGGAGTGAATGATGGTTACTGAAGAGTAAAAGGTTAACACATACAATAGTAGTCTCTACTGCTCAATCCTAACCAGGCAACACCACCGTCCATTTCTCCCGCAGAGCGGGTGTGCGAATGCAGTGATGAAGAGACAAAGCTGTTGCCCGGTGCTTCGTGGTCGTAATCCCTTGGGTGCCGGTGGCCAGGGCGGGCACGGGGAGCAAGGCTGACTCACCGGCTTGCCTGCTGACACTTTGCAATATCCACTCGACAGTGGAAATCCAAGTCGGATACCACCACTGCTGCTCTGCTTGCCAAATTGCCCGGAGCGAAACTAGGAGAGATCAGATTCAGTGCATGCATGAGGGCGCAACCAGATATACTCTTGTAAGTTCTTCTGCTAAGCTTTCGCTTTTCACTTTTCAGGTTGGAGCGATGTGTCCCGTAGAAGATATTATTGACCTTGGCGATTGAGTAAGATATTTCACAAGGCCGGTCAATAGTTCAGCACTTGGCACCAGGGTTAACTATGAAAAGTGCGCCGTATGGTAGAGGCCATGATTGGAATAGGATAGTGCCCTAGATGACACTAGTGGATCACATCAAACAGAGTACATATTTCTTGTCATGTAGTAATACTGAAACCATGATATTTTCTTACTGTGCAAGAGCCAAAACCCTTCTATCACTTCGAGGAAAGCGAGTGAATGATATTAACAAACACGAGGAAAGGTCCCTCCAAATTGCACTCTCTTTTTTTAAGAAGAAATTGCTTACTTCATTTATTTACCAAAGTTCGGAATTTTCGCTGATACAAACAGAAACAGGCAACACCGGCGCCGCGCAGCTGTGCTTACGTGCATGGCATGAGCCGTGGACTCCAGCCACGGCCCTTCTGCATGGTCGACCGGCAACGCTGGCGCCGCGCCGCTGTGTCCCGCGGGTGAGGGCTTCAACGTCAAGTGGACGTGCACGGAGGCGTGGGACTACGGGAACACAGGTGGCTGCATCGATCCGAACGAGCAGCGCTCACGCGCCGGGACGACAAGCGTTCTCGACGCAGTCACCGATCTACTGCGGCCTCTCCCTCAGAAGGAGACGACGACCCGGCGGGCAGCGGCGAAGGACTCACGCGACCGATCGCGGGAGGGCGTAGCTCTCGCAGATTTCGATCCGATCTACAATGGCGCTCAGGCTCATGCGTTAGAGTTGGCTCTACGAGATCAGCAGCTACCCTGGTACGTACATGGCGGCTACACATCCGACTACACCGAGCCGCTGCATCGAGCGATCTGCGTCGACCGACCCTCGGCACATCATCAAGCTGGACAACTACACCTACCCATCTGCACTGCATCAAGCAAAACTACACCAGGCTGAGCCACGGCATCAAGCTGACTACTAGTAAAGTTCATCGTCGAGCACACTACGAGAAGCAACATCGACATGCATCACCCACACGCCAGGCCGGTGTGCAAAGCGATGCAATTCTCGTTGACTTCTCTGGCGCGACACGGCACCGATACTTGGTCGCCGCGAGGGACTCCTTCAAGCGACACATTATCATCAACACGCCGCTGCGACGCCATCACCGACACTTCATCGCCAAGGTCTTCATCAACGTGGTCTTCATCAACATCTTCATCGACACAGCGCCACTGCCTCATCCACAAGATGGACACCTAGCGTCTTCTGACAGACTTTTCTGCAAGACGCGACCTCGACGACGGCAATGACTGCGTCACGACGACGGCATCGACCATGTCATACACGACGACATGACTGCATCAACACGGCGTCACTCTAGTGACCAGCCAACACGGCCACACGGTTCTGGCAAAACCGATGTGTACTCGATGAGTTTCCTCCGGTCCTTGGTAAAGCGGTGGACTCATCGCTGACGGCACCCTCTGACATCTGTGAGGTGCATTGTTCACGACTGCAGCTCCGTCATCTACAACATAGCACATTTTTTTGCGCCTCCGGCTTTGTGTGGCTTCATCATCCACGACGGCTACATCACCGACCATGACTACCTCGACCACGGCTACATCATGATCGGCTACCTCGACATCGACCCACGGCTACATCATGATTGGCTACCTCGACATCCACATTAATGGCTTGGTCTACAGCAACATATCGGCAACAACTCCAGTCAACAACGTCCGCGTCGTGATCAGCGTCCACGCCGCTCCCAATGTGACCGCGGGAGGGAATAGAGGAGAGTCGAGGAGGCACCAGAAGGGGACGCAGGCACCGCCCTAGGTGCCAACCCATCAGAGACGCAGTTGATGATGGCGTGGCGGAGAAGACGGGGAAGCACAAGACTTCAAATTTAGTCGTAATCATCCGTTTCACTCCCGCTACGACTAAGGGGGATTGTTAGAAGTATAAACGTAGAGATAAGGAGAGATAGAGATAAACTAGTTTAAACACAGAATATCTTGCCTTGTACTCCAAACCTTTACCCCTCATGTACTTCTATATATACCCCATACGAGGGTCAGTTCAATACAACACAAATATAATCATCCTATAATTTCCACACTCCAGACACAGTATGCAATTACTCGGTAGATGGGGGAAAGGTCCAGAAATATTTCTCTACACTTGCGGTAGCTGCTATTGACTAGTAAAATTCAGAAGGCAAAGCCTCCCAAAGTCACATTCTGAGACTAAGGGTCTCCAAAGACTCATTCTGAAAAGACAGCCTCAACAAGTCGAGAACCCGAATGATGCCTCCCAGCAGGTGAACAGGTCAGCTTACACTAGGCAATCTCTCAGTACATTAAAACAGAAAATCATGCATCTAGATAGCAGTACACACACAATTTACCTAAACTTCAAGGTAAACACAAACGAACCAAGTATTTTCTCGCTACCGATACACGACTGACTGCTCCTCATACACAGTCAACACTCTAGCAGTTGGAGGAGTTAGGGGATTTAACATTTATTATTATCTCCACGAGCGAGGAGGATCCATGTGCGAGCCTCTCCCTAATCCGATGACTGCTAGCTTCATCCACCTGGGATCTCGTCGCGGACTCAAGGTCTGTGTCCTTGCAATACTCACATGGGCGTTCAACATCCAGCTCAATTCTCTTCAACCCCACGGCTCGTTCCATGACAAGCCTTATATAGTTTATCACCTTGTCTTCTTCCTCAAACCCGAACATCAACAAGAACTTCAATTTCAAGTTCTTAGAATCCTTGGATGGCTCCCAAACCACGGTGGTCTTCTCAGCACTATCCTTGGGTGTTTCAACACATGAATGTCGAGTTCGAGATAACTTCATGCAAGGACATAGAAAATAAATAACACATGTTATCAAATATTTTTTGCCATATTTTAAAGAAAATTTAACACCCTCGATACTATTACTTAAGTTTAGGTCCCTGAAAGAGATTTTGAACAAACTTCCTTGTATTTGGGAATTCTAGAATGAGTCAAATCCACACTGAGATATGGAACTGAAAGAAGTTAAAGTAACAGCCATACTCCCAAATTCAAAGCAACAGACTTACTGTCAAACTAAAGAGTGCAGGTGCAGCGTCAAGGATAAATAGGGTCCAGCTCAGATCACACTCAGGGAAGATACCAAAAAGAGACACATGACCCAGATTTCTGAATATAGCAGCAAGCTGGTTTGGACGTTCTGGTTGAATCCAAATCTGCAGAAAGAAGAACACAAATACACAGCTGAAATGGGTAGAGAAGTAGGCGAACATATGCTATGCGTGCAGAAGAAATTTAGATGGTACATATAAATTAGCTTTACCATTTGGTAGCAAAAATTGAGAGATATTCTGGACAGGTTCATGGCACTCCTTGACAAGCACTTGCTCAGCAAGAATGGCGCCTGCCACGCCATGGCGCCGGTACTGAGGCTCACATCGCGAAGCTCTGGAACATAGCCAAAGCGCACAGGAGGGTTCGCCAAGCGCCAAGATGCGCACTGCACTTTACTGAGCTTGGGGACAGAGATGAGCTCGATCTGCGTGCACCCAAATTGGATGAATTCGAGATCCTTGATCCCAGAACACGGTGTGTTGATCTTGAGCGGTGTGTGCTCGTCAACCAGTTGGCAAAAACTCAGAGTGAGGTGCGTGAGCCTGTCACAGGCACTAATGAGGTCGGTGACGTCGGAATGCCCAAACGCAAGGTTCTTGAGTGTAAGCCTGGTGAGCCACCGGAAAGCGAGTGGGTAGTCGCGGGAGAAGGACATGAACTGCTGCCCAAACTCGGCGAGCTGCCGGGCAGTGTTTCTCTTGTATGGCGAGCATGTGCCAAAATGGAGCCGTTTGGTCTCGCCGCGGCTGACGACATGCTCAACGGCGCGGCCGATGGAGCTCAGGTGGGGGGCCGACAGGAAGAAGCGGAGGCTGATGGACTTGACAGCATGACTGCCGTTGCAGTCGCAGTCGCGGTCGGTCAGCAAACTCCGTGCCGCGCCCGTGAACGCGTCCATGTACTGGAGCAGCGTGGTGCAGCGGAAATGGCGACCGTTGAGGTGCAGGCGCGAGAGGCGGTGGGCGAGGTGCCGCCACCGCGTCGAGACTGCTCCGGCGCGGACCGCCTCGCGCAGTTCAAGGCGCTCGAGGATTCCGAGGAGGAGGTCGTCAGGGAGCGCGCTGATCCTTTCGTCATCTCGGCCGACGTTGCGCTTGTGCAGCGGCAGCGACTCCATGGCCGGCCGGGATTCGAAAGCCGATTTGGATTTGTTGGTTGAGACCCTAGCTAGAACTGACCGATGAGATGGGCCCCTAGCGGCGACGACCTGCTCCAAGGACGCGGCTCCCCATCCTCCCTCCGGCGCTCTGCTCCGTCGATCTGGATCGGATCCGCCGCGCGGGCAGCTGGATGGATCCGGCGGCTCTTGGCTCCTCCTCGTTCCCCTCCCCTCCGGGTTGCTGTTGCTAGTTAGCTCCGATTTGGTGGCTGATTGGATGGTGGATGCATTCGATTGGAGTGGATTCGTGAGTGAATTGGAGCTCTCGACGGTGGGAATTGGATGATGCGCGAGCACGGGAGGAAGGAGACGGCGGTGCTGTCTTGTGCTGTGCGAGAGAAGGCGGCTTTGTGTAAATTTCACTTCGGCTCCTAAGAGCATCTCCAGCCGCGCCCCCGACACGTCCCTCATGGCCATTTTTTAGCACCGACGCCTAAAAAAGGTCCAGTCATTTCCTTAGAAGACCATTTTTCATCGGTTTGAGCCAAAATTGGCGTCGGCGGATCCAGACCGATCCCGGCGCGCTGCGGTGCCGGGGAAACCGATTTTGGCGCGAATGAGAATGGGCCCGCCAAGTCAGCGACACGCCGCTTCGTCGTCCTCATCGTCTTGGTTCCCGCGGGAATCAATGCCAAGGCTGTCGCGTTGCCGTGCCGGTCAGCCTCAATTGATGCCTCACGGACGGCGCAGTGAAGGCGGCGCGACGCGCGTCCCGCCCGGCCCGCTCCCGCCACGCGTCACCCAGCATGCAGATTCTCACCGCCCCGCTTCAGCTATAAAAGCCAACCTCCCCGCCGGTGAACGCCACAGTCGCCACAACTTTCCTTCTCTCTCGCCTCGTCTCATCACAGAAGCAACTCTCCCCCCTCTTTCCCCACCGACGAGCAATGTTGAGCAGTATCCCGGTGACGCCGCGGTGGCGAACGGCTTCGGCCTCCGCCCATCTCCACGAGGACGAGGCGCGCATCCTCTACGAGGCCGACTATCCAGCGCCACCAGACATGCGGGTGCCGGACTCGTGGAAGTTGAGCGCCAGCGGCGTCCCGGTACCCCCGGCGCCCACCGAGGCTGAACGGCGGGCCGAGATCGCCCGCATCCATTCGTCGATGTCGGAGGAGTAGCCGAATGAGCCGAGGTACGCCGCCGACAGACACACGCTGTGAACGATGTACTTCGACCGCCGCCGCGAAGACCAGATCACCTCCGCCAACGGCACCACCCCCGCGGCCGGCTCAACGCTGATGGGCAGCGCGAATGGTGGGGCGTGCCCGGCCGCACCCTCGAGGCCGTCCTCGACCACATCGAGATCGGCAACACTGTTGGGGAACGCAGTAATTTCAAAAAAATTCCTACGATCACGCAAGATCTATCTAGGTGATGCATAGCAATGAGAAGGAAGAGTGTGTCCACGTACCCTCGTAGACTGAAAGCGGAAGCGTTTCAATAATGCGGTTGATGTAGTCAAACTTCTTCGCGATCCAACCGATCAAGTACCGAACATATGGCACCTCCGCGTTCAGCACACGTTCAGCTCGATGACATCCCTCGTGCTCTTGATCCAGTTGAGGACGAGGGTGAGTTCCCTCATCACGACGGCGTGGTGACGATGATGATGATGATGTTACCGGCGCAGGGCTTTGCCTAAGCACTATGATGGTATGATCGAGGTGTGTAACTGTGAAGGGGGGCACCGCACATGGTTAAGAGAAATTTGTGTGTCTTTGGGATGCCTCCTGCCCACGTATATAAAGGAGGGAGGGAGAGAGGCTGCCCCCCCTAGCGGTGCCAAGAGTATGGAGTCCTGCTAGGACTTCCAAGTCCTAGTAGGAATCCCTTCCCTTTTAGGAGTAGGAGAGAAGGAAAGAGGGAAAGAGAGAGGGAGTAGGAAAGGGCAAGGGGGGTGCTGCCCCCTTCCCCTAGTCCAATTCGGACCCATGGGGGGGCACGCCACCTCCTCTTGGCCTGCTTCCTCTATTTCCCATATGGCCAAATAAGGCCCATTACTTCTCCCAGTGAATTCCCGTAACTCCTTGGTACTCCGAAAAATACCCGAATCACTCGGAATCTTTCCGATGTCCGAATATAGCCTTCCAATATATGAATCTCGACCATTTCGAGACTCCTCGTCATGTCTGTGATCTCATCTGGGACTCCAAACAAATTTCGGTCATAAAATCACATAACTCATAATACAAATCATCATCGAACGTTAAGCGTGCGGACCCTACGGGTTCGAGAACTATGTAAACATGACCGAGACACATCTCTGGTCAATAACCAACAGCGGAACCTGGATGCTTCTATTGGCTCCTACATATTCTATGAAGATCTTTATCGGTCAAACTGCATAACAACATACGTTGTTCCCTTTGTCATCGGTATGTTACTTATCCGAGATTCGATCGTCGGTATCATCATACCTAGTTCAATCTCGTTACTGGCAAGTATCTTTAGTCGTTCCGTAATACTTCATCCCACAACTAACTCATTAGTCACATTGCTTGCAAGGCTTATAGTGATGAGCATTACCGAGAGGGCCCAGAGATACCTCTCCGAAACACAGAGTGACAAATCTTAATCTTGATCTATGCCAACCCAACAAACACCTTCGGAGACACCTGTAGAGCATCTTTATAATCACTCAGTTACGTTGTGACGTTTGATAGCACATAAGGTGTTCCTCCGGTATCCGGGATTTGCATAATCTCATAGCCTGAGGAACATGTATAAGTCATGAAGAAAGTAGTAGCAATGAAACTGTAACGATCATAATGCTAAGCTATCGGATGGGTCTTGTCCATCACATCATTCTCCTAATGATGTGATCCCGTTCATCAAATGACAACACATGTCTATGGCTAGGAAACATAACCATCTTTGATTAACGAGCTAGTCAAGTAGAGGCATACTAGGGACACGTTGTTTTATCTATGTATTCACACATGTACTAAGTTTCCGGTTAATACAAATCTAGAATGAATAATAAACATTTATCATGATATAAGGAAATGTAAATAACAACTTTATTATTGCCTCTAGGGCATATTTCCTTCAGTCTCCCACTTGCACTAGAGTCAATAATCTAGTTCACATCACCGTGTGATTTAACACCCATAGTTCACATCTGTATGTGATTAGTATCCGTAGTTCACATCACCATGTGATCAACACCCAAAGGGTTTACTAGAGTCAATAATCTAGTTCACATCGCTATGTGATTAACACCCAAAGAGTACTAAGGTGTGATCATGTTTTGCTCGTGAGAGAAGTTTAGTCAACGGGTCTGATATATTCAGAGTCGTATGTATTTTGCAAATTTTCTATGTCTACAATGCTCTGCATGAGCTACTCTCGCTAATTGCTCCCACTTTCAATATGTATCCAGATTGAGACTTAGAGTCATTTGGATTGATGTAAACGCTTGCATCGATGTAACTCTTTACGATGAACTCTTTTATCACCTCCATAACCGAGAAATATTTCCTTAGTCTTCTTAGGTAACTAAGGATAACTTTTGACCATTGTCCAGTGATCCACTCCTGGATCACTAGCGTACCCCCTTGCCA